TAGTAAGTATATTCACAGTGTTATGTAATTATCATCCCTATCCATTACCAAAACACTTCCTCACCCCAAACAGAAACTGTTCCCATTTAAACAGTTCCCATTCAAAACAACTTCCCATTCCTCTGCCCGGCCCTAATTCTTAATGAATTAGCCTGGTTTAGGAGCCTCAGAAAGTAGAATCAGACAATGTATCCCACTGGTCTAATTACACTTCCCAGAATGTTTTCAAAATCCATTTATGTTGGAGCATATGTCAGAATTTCATTCCTTTTTATGGTTAAATAATTCATTGTGTGGATATGCCACTTTTTGTTCATCCATTCATCCAGTGGTGGACATTTGGGTTAGTCACATCTCTTGTCTGTTGTGAATCAAGGATCTGTTTGTGAGTCCTTCTTTCAATTGGAATTACAGGGTCATACGGTGATTTATTTATCATTTTTTCCTTTTTTATTTTTTTGAGACAAGGTCTTGTCCAGGGTGGTATGTTTAACTTTTGCAGGAACCTCTGAACCATTTGCATTGTGGCTGCTTTGTTTTACTTTCCACCAGCAATGCATCCGTGGGAACACTTTCTGTTGTTTAAATATAAACATCCTCATAGGATTGAAGCAGTATCTCACTGTGGTTTTGACTTGCACTTTCCTAATAACTAGAGATGCTGAGTACAATTTCATATTCTTGTTGGTCGTTTGTCTATCTTTGGAGACATGACCTTTCAAGTCCTTTGCCCATTTTTTAATAAGTTTGTTTCCTTTTTTGTCTTTGAGTTATAAATGTTCTTTTTATATCCTGATGTTATTGTTATTTATATAATTTGCAAATATTTTCTTCCATTCTGTGGATTTTCTTTTCACTCTTGATACTGTCCTGTTCATGCACAAGAATTTTTATTTTTTATCTTATTTATTTATTTATTGGTACTGGGAATTGAACCCAGGACTTTGCTTGCCTAGAGTGCTAGGCAAGCACTCTACCAGTTGAACCATGCCCCTAGCCCTTGTTTATATTTTTGTTCCTGAGATAGGGTCTCAAGTAACTGCCAGGGCTGGCCTTAAACTCAGGATCCTCCTGTCTCTGCTTCCTGAGTAGCTGGGATTACAGGTATATACCACTATTCGTGACTGAGTTTTTACTTTTGATGAAGTATATTTCATTTATGTTTTCTTTTTTCAATGCTTGGGATCAAACCCAGGGCCTTGTGTTTGCTGGGCAAATGCTCTACTACTGAGTTACATCCCCAGCTCTTTTTGTTGTTGTTGTTGTTGTTGCTTATGCTCTTGGTCTCATGTTTAAGAAATCATTGTCAAATTCAAGGTAGGAAGATTTATGAGGATCCATGTTTTTTTTAACTCTTAAGGTTAATCTGTTGGCCCATTTTGAGTTCATTTTGATATGTGATGTTACATAAGGGTCCTATTTTACTCCTTTGCACGTGCATATCCAGTTTTCTCAGCAGCATTTGTTCAGAGCCTGTGCTTTCCCCTGTTGAATGGTCTTGGCACCCTTGTCAAAAAACACTTGACTGTTGTCTCCATCAGTTTATACTGCCATAACAAAGGACCATAAACGGTGTGGCTTGAGTGGTAAATCATTATTTCTCACAGTTCCAAAGCTGTGAGAACATGCTTCTGATGCTGTTCCAACATTAAGGTGTGTTATCATTTTGTCACTATAACAAAGACCTGAGATAATCAGCTTCTAAAGAAAAAAGATTTACTTTGGTTCACAGTTTTAGAGGTTCCAGTTCATGATTGGTTGGCCTGTTGCTTTGGTAAGGCAGCACATCATGGCAGTAGCGTGAGGCAGAACAAAACTGTTCACCTCATTACCAGGAAGCAAAAGAAAGAGGAAGGGGCAGGGGTCGCAAAATCCCCTTCAAGCATATACTGCCAGTGACCTAAAGACCTCCTACAGGCTCCCAAAAGAGCTACTTTGTGGACTGGGCCATTAACACACGGGCCGTTGGGGGACATGTGAGACCCAAACCATAGCACAAGGTGTCAGTGGATTTGGTGTGTGGCAAGAGCCCACTTCAGTGGTTTGCAGATGGTTGGGTTTTCTTGTATCTTTACATGGAAGAAAACAGGGATGAGAAGACATGTCTTTATTGTCTCTTTTCTTTATTTTATTTTATTTAATTTTATAGTGCTGGGGATGGTACTCAGGACCTTGCACAAGTTAGGCAAGTGTTACACCTCTGGGCTACATCCCCAGGTCACGTCTCTTCTCAAAAGATACTAACCGGGCTGGCAGAGTGGCTCAAGTAGTAGATCACCTGCTGAGCAAATGTGAGGCCCTGAGTTCAAACTCCAGTGCTGCCAAAAAAGGGGGGGGAACACTAATTCCACCATGTAGGTGTCACTCTCATGCCTAATTACCTGCCAAAGGTCCCTTCTCCAAATATTAGGGATTAGGGCTTCAACATAGAAATTTGAAGGGGAGGGGACTCAAATATTCAGTCTATAAACCATATATGTGAGTTTATTTCTTGTCTCTGTGTTCTAGGCCACTGGTTTACCTGTCCTTATGACAATATCATCCTGTTTTGATTACTGACATTTTGCATTAGATTTTCAAATCAGGAAGTATTCTTCAATTTTTTATTTTTTTTATTTTAGTTGTTTGGGGTCCCTTGAGATTCCATATCAGTTTTATGATGTAAAGTATGTATTTACTTTGCAAAGTAAATACAAAGTATTTAGTGCCTTTGGGGTTTTCATAGGGATTGCACTGAATCTATAGACAGATCACGTTGGTTAGTATTTTCATCTTAGCAATGTTAAGTCTTCCATTAATTTGTGTATTCTTTTTGTCAGCAGTGTTTCATAGCTGTAACTCATTCCTTTTCTGTTTGTTTTTCCTTCTTAAGGTGTCACTACTAGCAACCATTGTTGACATATCAGAACCTAGTCAGAGGGTCATGTACCTTTGTGTAATGTGATTCACACTTCTTTCCTCTCCCAGAGTGTGGGTATCATTTCTTCCCTCATATTAGAGTCACCTTGCTCCCTTTCAGGGCTACCTACAACTTAACTAGAACTATTTGTTCTTTTAAAGAACAAATAAGGGCTGTAAGTCTTTCACACAAACACAACACAGTCACAGCAAATACACTTCAGTTGTTAGTGCCACCATCATCCCTGGCAGCTTCTTAGACCAATTTAGTATCAAATGCTGCATCATTTACTCATAGCTGTGGTGGATCATGTCCCAGATTTTCTAGTTTGGTGTTCAGTCTGTGTTAATTATCCTATTGTTTTCTAAAATTTTGGTTCTATGCTCATAGCTGCCAGTCACGTTTGATTCCTTACATTCCAAGCAGCATTCAGCAGCTTGGGATGTTTATTCTTGTTCTTTGACTTTTCAAATATCTTACTACTATATTTAAGAATCTTATAAGGTATAAAGCAGAAAAATAGAGGGAACGAACCAATTTGGGTTATAATACATATATACATGGAAGTGTCACAAGGAAACCAATGTATAGCTATCTTAAACAAACAAAAACATCATTTTTTTTCCAAAAATGGAGAACTGGAGGGCAAAACAAGTCCTGTCTGGGAAGCGGGAAGGATGTGCAGAGAGGGTATAAGAGGGTGAATATGGTGCAAATACTATGCAACATGTATGTAAATGGAAAAATGAGACCTGTTGAAACTATTCCAGAAATGGAGGAGGAGGGATAAAGGACAATGGTGGAGGGAGTGAATTGTAAGAATTTCTGTAAAGTTTGCAACAATAAAAAAAATTCTTGATACAGCCAAATGAAAGACTTTTCAAGCATATAGTCATGTCCATATTCTGAAAAGTCATCAGTACTTTTTTCTGAAGAAAAGGGAATGTCAAAGGACATTGTCAAAGGACAGTGAATGCTGTTTCACTCAGTACTTTTGTGAAGTGGTTCCTGTGCTAGGTAGCTTGTTCCTTGGTGGATTGCTTTCATGTACACATAGATTTCCTTCTAGTCATAACAATGTGACTTATTTAAAAATAAAGAATCTAACAGAAGCTGGGTGTGCTGGGCACATCTGGAAGATCACAAGTTCCAGGCCAGCCTTGACTATGGGAAAAAAAGAATCCACCAAAATTTAGGGGGTTTAAACAGAATTCAAGCAGTTTCATTAAATTTATATTGCACTTCTATTTAGATATTTGACTTCAAATTGCTTTTGTGTTCTCACAGAACACAAAAATTATTATATTTTGTCAGTACTCTTTTCCAAAATGTGCATTTTTCACTAAAAACTGAATAATTATGGGATAGATTTCTTTAATTGCACCTATCCCATTAGAATATTAGAGTTCTTATTTCTGTTGGATGGGGCCTATCCAGAGTAACCTTGACATTGTATAGGTTTAGAAAATTGTTCAAGATGTTTACGTTTAGGGGAAAAGTCTACTACCAAATGGAATTGAGCTGTGATTCAAATGTGACTCTTCACCCTCTCCAACCTGACCTCCACTTCTAATTCTCAGTGCTCTCAGGGCTCATCTCATCCACTTGCATCAGCCACCAATCTTTTGCCACGCTAGTGACATGTTCACTGTGACTTTTCTATATAATTTTAGTTTCTGCTATAGCCCCTGCCCCTGAAGCCCAAACAGTTGTCCTACTTACATGTGGAAAAGTATTCAAATGCATATTAACATGTAGAACTATATAGCTGCTTATTTTAAAGGAATTTTACAAATGAGATGTGTAAATTATTCTTGGTATTATTTATTGAGCTTGCAATTATAATAAATCCACAAGGTGCCAGGCCTCTGCATTTTATCATTTGCTAGTTAAATCAGAAATCAGCCAGTGATCAAAGATCTGGGAAGACATTGCCACAGAGTAGTCTGGAATGTACAGTCCTGAAATTATGAGTGGTTGCATATTCACAGTTATACTTACCACGTTACCAGTAGTTCTGAGTCAAAAATTACAGCACAAAAAGAAATGAATTTCTCTGAGAATGTTTTAAATTTAAGATTTATTATGTTCTATTCAACAGAAATGCACATCAGAGCATTCACCCAGAAAATCAAGAGCTAGTAAGGGTGCTTCGAGAGCAACTTCAAACAGAACAGGTAACTTTTATATGTGCATTTGTGTAAGGAATAAATGTTACAACTCCCCTGTATGTGCAGTTGTGATGAAACATTAGTAAAATACTTTTGAGAAACATGGGCTTCTGTCCCGCTTCAATTTGTCTTAAATTGTTTGTTCTACAAATTGTATGTTTTCAGATTAAGCAAATTACCTAGTCTTACTCTATTCAGATATTTGAGTGGTTTTGTTTTTTTTATTTATTAACTTGCTTTAAAAAGAGAACAGTTTTCCTGTTATTAATTTGTACAAAAATGATCACTGAAATGTAGTGGGAAAACTATTTTTTTAAATAGATGCACCCTAACACCTTCAAAGAAATGACTGGAAAGGGTGGCTTTTTTTTTCTGTCTCCTCTTCCCTTTTCTTCAATGGTCAAAGTTAATGAAACTAGTTAGGCGAAAAAAAATTTTTCCCCTCTGCCTCTTCTTTTTACCAGATGTAATCTCTAAGAACCAGAAATGTGATGTAGTTACATTGAAAGCTAATAAAAGGATATTGTATACCTTCATACCAAGATAGCTAACATTAAAAACAAAGATTAAAGGTTACTTTCTCCCCACAATCAAACATTAGTTATAGTGAAGGTTTTATAATTTATCCATCCACCAAATATTTTTTTAAGTTCTACCATATGCCAGACATTATTCTAGGCTTTGAGAATTCAATTGTAAACTAAACAAAAAAATTCCTATCGTCATGGAACTTCAATTCATTGATCAAGAATAGTGCAAGCACACCCATGTTTATTGTGGCACTATTCACAATAGCCAAGTTATGGAAACAGCCAAGATGCCCCACCACTGACGAATGGATTAAGAAAATGTGGTATCTATACACAATGGAATTTTATGCAGCCATGAAGAAGAACGAAATGTTATCATTCTCTGGCAAATGGATGGAATTGGAGAACATCATTCTGAGTGAGGTTAGCCTGGCCCAAAAGACCAAAAATCGTATGTTCTCCCTCATATGTGGACATTAGATCAAGGGCAAACACAACAATGGGATTGGACTACGAGCACATGATAAAAGCGAGAGCACACAAGGGAGGGGTGAGGATAGGTAAGACACCTAAAAAATTAGCTAGCATTTGTTGCCCTTAATGCAGAGAAATTAAAGCAGATACCTTAAGTGCAACTGAGGCCAATAGGAAAAGGGGACCAGGAACTAGAGAAAAGGTTAGATCAAAAAGAATTAACCTAGAAGGTAACACCCACGCACAGGAAATCAGTGTGAGTCAATGCCCTGTATTGCCATCCTTATCTCAACCAGCAAAAACCCTTGTTCCTTCCTATTATTGCTTATACTCTCTCTACAACAAAATTAGAAATAAGGGCAAAATAGTTTCTACTGGGTATTGAGGGGGTAGGGGGGAGAGAGGGGGGCAGGGTGGGTGGTAAGGGAGGGGGTGGGGGCAGAGGAGAGAAATGACCCAAGCCTTGTATGCACATATGATAATAAAAGAAAAAAAAAAAGAATAGTGCAAGCATATTAGTAGTACTTTGTTCCAGAGCTATTGTTACCCATAATTCATGTTTATATAGATTTTATAATTTACAAAGTGATTTCCAAACAACTATCCCATTTAATCTTCAAACATGATAAGTAAGGCAACTACTATCATTTGTATTAAAACATCAGATCATAAACATTTGCCTAAATTCACACCATAATTACACAAATAGGTTCAACTGTACAGGAGTTCCAGATTCAGGTGTACCTTCCAGACTTCTTTGTCCAGTAATCCCATTTACCTACTTCACACCTTTCTCAGACATGGCATTATGCCAATAAAGTTAGAATCAAGCCAGTGACTTAGCCTTTTCAGTGTTGTTCACCATGGTAGCCATTAGCCACATGTGACTATTTCAACTAATTAAAATTTAATAAAAAATTAAATTCAGTACTTTAGGTACACTAGCCACCAGGTATGCAATAGCTACATGTAGCTACAGGTAAGGATTTCTATTATTGCAGGGTCAATTTCTAAAAAAGTTTTTGAGGATGAAAGATAGAAAATTGAATACTTTTTACAGTAATAAAATTGACACAAATGATTATATCCCTGTGTAAGTATAGATTATAGAATATTCTGGTAACTTATATTTAGGATATATGAAATTTTAATTATAGTTTATTAATATTGGGAAGCATAGATCTGTGATTCCATTTGTAGTTAACAGTTCATACTTAACTAATTTTGTATTGTTTGTAATTTGATGTTTTTAATGCCAGCTACTTTGTTTATATAATCTTAGCTGGGTACTCTAAAAATAAGTTATTATGGGTGTTTTTTAAAATGTGCATTTTGTACTAGTGCTAGACACTTTCAGGTCCTGACATACTAAAATGGGTCCTACACTTTTCAGTCATGGTACTTACATTTTAGTGGACTCTTACACTGGTAATTCTGCTCAACATTCCTGTTGATGTAACATAGTAACATTTACTAACACAGTCATGTGAAGGATTAAATTCAAGTTACCAGTAGCCTTAAATTTTTCTGCTTCCAAAATGACCAAATATTCTCTGAAAGTTTAATTCTGGTTTCATGTGAGGTACAACATATATGTAACAATTGTCAGGAAGACAGCTATCAAAAAAAATGTTAAAAAATGAAGAAAAGCAAATACTTAGAAAATAGTTTGACATTTGTTGTTGTTGTTTTCTGGTGCTGGGGATGGAACCCAGGACCTTACACATGCTAAGCGGGCACCCCAGCCTAGTAGTTCCTATTCTTCAGGTCACGCAAATGCTCAGCACTGTACTACTCAGAATAATTTACTCATTCTGATAAAGTAAAACAAAACCCCTGACTTAAAGTAAGTTTGTCTTTTATAAAACCTGGATTTTGGGTTTTAATCTAGGTTTTCCCTAAATTGTGTTCAAGAAAGAAGGTAGGTGTCATTCTTAAATAAACAGCTTAAATAAAACATAGTTTCACAAGTTTATCAAACTGATGAGACCTTAAGCTATTGCATATGTAAACTGGTCATTATTGAGAGCACTGTGTGTGAGGTGTGAATGTGGACATGTCTTCTTACCAGGGTACTCCTGCTGCTGCCCGACAGCAGTTCTACACTGACATGTACTGTCCAATCTGCTTACATCAAGCCTCCTTCCCTGTGGAAACAAACTGTGGACATCTTTTTTGTGGTAAGGAAACAATATTGTACTTGATTGAAGTGACTATTTATACCAAGACCTACATGTATACATAAACTAGATTCCTAATTTTCTCTTTGTCACATTTTATATTTCCTGAGTAAGGTAGATTGCTTCTGATATCCCATTCTACTTGTATATTTAGCATCTAAATAACATTTAACAATATATATTATACTTATTTATATTTAACAATATATATTTATACTAATATAACTAGTATACATAGTATATTATTTAGCATTTGTGGATTCAAAGGTTAAAAAGCTAATTTAATTTAGCTTCTCAGTCAACAGCAAGGTGTTTCTTTGCATAGTAGTTCAAGTATATCAGTAGCATAACATTCATTGACTCCTTCCTTGTTCATCTTTTTTTTTTTTTTTTTTTTGCAGTACTATGGTTTGAGCTCAGAGCCTCACACTTGCTAGACAGGTGCTTTACTACCTGAGCCCTATCATCAACCCTGTTCTTCACTTTTCAATAGTTTCATTTATTGTTCAAACTTTCCAGAGCAGAAAGGTTCTTCTTTCAAGATCCTTGCCCAAGACCTTCTCTTAGTTCTACCATCTCTTTGTAAGAATAAAGTTATAAACTATTCTTTATAAGAATAAAGAATAAGTTAAAGAATGAGTTAGTAAAAAAGTTTTTCTTCTGTCTTCCTTTGTGACTTCAAGAGAACTGGAGGAGAATGAGAAACCTACATCATGTATTGGAATAAGAAGCAAATATTTTCATACTAATTTAGTATCAGTAAGGGGTGCTTCCTATCCCTTATTGGCTTTCCTGACCCCCCAGAAATATTTCATAGAGAATAATGATATATTGTGTGTGTTTGCTACACCATACAAGATTCAGAGGATACCCATATGTGCTTAACATATACTTAACATACTTCATCTCATCTAACTCCCAAAAAGAGAAAACTGAGGCTCAGAGGTGTTAAGAATTTTTATAAAGGGTAACCCAGCTGCTAAGCAATAAGGCCAGGTTTTAACCTAAGCCTGTCTGCAATTCTACTGTGCCAGTGGTGGCACACACAATGTGGAACACTCTAAGAAATACTCTTTACTTAGATTTGTCTAATCATTAAACCTATTTTTTATTAGTAGTGTTTCTCTCTGTCTGTTGGAAGTTGAATAATTAGTTGTTGGTTTTGAGGGTTTATTTATTTATTTACAATAAATAAAAATAGCTAAGATGTAGAGCAGGACTAATCTCTTATTACCTCACACATATCAAGATAGGTCTTAATTGTTCCTGAAATGTACCAAATTTTCATATAAAGACTAATTTTAAATGTAGCATACAATAACCCTATAAATTGCTTTCTCCTTTTTGTATCTTTTGTTTGACTTCAGCATAGAATTCTTAGACACAGTGTTTTGTTTATGCTGTTGGGGATAACCTAAGTATTTGACATTCTACCATGTAATGCATGGTTTTCTATACATTGTGTTTATTTAGTAATTCAGTCTCATCTTGCTTCATTCATTAATTTCAACCTCTTCCCTGAAGTTCTGGGTTGGTTGGTTGTTTTAGAGACAGGGTCTTGCTATGTATCCCAGGGTGGCCTCAAACACACTGTGTAGTTCCAGGCTGGCCTTGAACTTTCAGTCTTCCTGCCTCAGCCTCCTAAATGCTGGGATTACAATCATGTACCACCATTCCTGGCTTCCTTAAGGTTTTTGCCAAAGTAGCTAACAAATTATAAAACAATTATCAGTTGCAAATTCATTTATTATTCAGCCTTCCCAGGGCAGGAAGGATCTTCTCTCAAGAACCCTGCCCAGGACCTTCCCTGAGCTCTACTAATTTATCTTTTTACTTTCAGTCTTTTAATTACCTGTTGGGAATGATAATGAGCAGCAAAATATAGAAAGATCAGGTGAGGAGGGTTTTGTTTTTGTTTTTGTTTTTATGATGTTGGGGACAAAATCCAGGGTCTTACACATGCTAGGGAGGCACTGTACCACTGCTACATCTCCAGCCCCAGATAGGAACATTTAATAGCCATCAGAGAAGACAGATACCTTTCTGTTCTCAAACCTCTGGTAGATATTCCTAATCCATCTGACACCCTTTTCATCTGAGTCTGCATGTGGCCTCAGCCATCCCCTAGCACAGTCTGCCAGGCAGGTCTTAGCAGTCAGGTTTGGCAGGCAAAATGAACTGATTTGCCAAGCCAGGATTAGCTAGTTCACTGAGTAGATAATTCTGTCAATTGAAAGATAGGTGTATTGTGTTCTTGGTTTTTCCTCTGGGTCTGAGGTAATAGGGTAGATTGCTTCTGATATCCTGCTCTACTTGCTAGATACTTTGATTTCGTGTCCATAGGTTCAAAGATTAGAAAAACTGGTTATTCAGCTTCTCAACAAGGAGAAATGTGTTTCTTTGGATAATAGTAGAAATATATTAATACCATGTATGCCAACAGCCCTTTTGTTTATTTCCTACATATGGTACCACACCTCTGTTCCATTATCATGAATTAAGAGTAATAACAGCAACAGATAACATCTTACTTGCATTTGTAACCCACATTATTTTATTATTTAATTCTCCAGCAGGCTTGTGAGGTCTTGTTCTGATTTTACAAATAAACACATTCAGAGAAATTGTGATTCAGATGAAAGTTACTGAGTCATCTCTGCTACCATACTACTTAGGTAGTTATCTTTTTCTGTGGAGGGAGAGAGTTGAGGAACTGGAAGACATCAAGCTTTCAATAGCAGATTTGAATGAACTAAACTATTTGATTTGCTGAGCCATAGTTTTTCAGTGTAGGCAATTGGCTGATACATAATTTGCAAAACAAGGACACCTATACCCCATTTGGAAAAGATGCGACATTAAAACAGGTTGAGTTCCTGGGTAAAAATGTAGTAAAGACATCATTTCAGGTGGTAATAATGCTAACACAGTAATAAGTTTTGCTTTCATATAGTTCCTATTTGAAATTAGACTGCTGAGTACTCAATAAACATTAATTAAAATAGTAAAGCCATCAGATAAAATTTTAAATTCATCTTGAAATTGGTGAAGTTGTTCATTTCCACAGACTCTGTAATGTACAGTTTGGACAGCCTCTGTTATCTGTTTTTCTTTTTTTTTTTTTTTTTTTTCATTTTTCTTTTATTATTCATATGTGCATACAAGGCTTGGTTTATTTCTCCCCCCTGCCCCCACCCCCTCCCTTACCACCCACTCCACCCCCTCCCGCTCCCCCCCTCAGTACCCAGCAGAAACTATTTTGCCCTTATCTCTAATTTTGTTGTAGAGAGAGTATAAGCAATAATAGGAAGGAACAAGGGGTTTTGCTGGTTGACATAAGGATAGCTATACAGGGCATTGACTCACATTGATTTCCTGTGCGTGGGTGTTACCTTCTAGGTTAATTCTTTTTAATCTAACCTTTTCTCTAGTTCCTGGTCTCCTTTTCCTATTGGCCTCAGTTGCTTTAAGGTATCTGCTTTAGTTTCTCTGCGTTAAGGGCAACAAATGCTAGCTAGTTTTTTAGGTGTCTTACCTATCCTCACCCCTCCCTTGTGTGCTCTCGCTTTTATCATGTGCTCATAGTCCAATCCCCTCTGTTATCTGTTTTTCTAGCAGTACCTCACATACCATTCATTTCTGCTCCTGGCCTGTGCTTCTGCTGATCATAGAACCTGATATGTCCTCCCTTCCTGTTTTCTGTTTTAAATCTTATCCCACAATGTTCAATTCAAATCTTTTCTCCTCTGCAGGTTACTCTCTAACACATCCCTTTCTGTACTCCTTTGTACTTAATATTACACACCTCAAGACTGAGTTGCCTCCTAACTGACTTAAGTATGTCACTGTGGTCTTTCAATTGGATTGCCATTGCTTGTGCTGAATTCTGATCTAGAGGAATAAGAATAAGGGAACACAAAGCACTTGGGAGGCTGAGGCAGGAGGATCATGAGTTCAAAGCCAGCTGTACAGTTATAAACTGTTTCAAAAAACAAAGTCAAAACAAAGAGTAAGAACACAGGAGGGCTAACTAGGTTGCTAAGGTGAGAGTAGGAACATAGGGAGGACCCTGGAGGTAAAAATATTTCTTCATGTTACTGATCTGAAGTTTAATGCTTACCCACTTAGTGCCCCTACTGTTTTTTTAGGTCATATAAACTCTTCCTTTAGGCAGTGTTGCCATCTTTAGCTGTTTTGCTGCTCATGAATATATTCAAGCAGAAATATCAAATTTGTCTACTATAAGAGTTGATTCAAGTATTAAACTAGATTATAAACTGTATTATGGCAGAGACCATGTAATCTTTGTATCTTTTGGTTCCTTGCTTACATTGCTTAATTACTATTAGCTAATACTTCAAGAACTTGGTTTTCTATTCTGTTTTTTTAGAGGTTCTGGGATTTTGAACTCAGGGCCTTGTGCTTGCTACAAAACATTCTAACACTTGAACCACAACTCCAGCCCTGGTTTAAAAACAGTTAGAAAACAAAAGTTGTATTTTTGTAGCATAAACCAAATTTGGAACAAAAAATTTATGCAATGATTTATGGCTTTCATATTTACAATGTTTGTTGTTTTGTGTATTTTACATAAGAAATACGCTATTTTTTATAAAGGCTCATATTATGGAGGCAGTTAATGCTTTTGTGAAAAAAAAAATCTATTGCTTAACTAACACTTTAAATAAAAATATTTTTGAAGGGTTAGGAATTATTCCCAGATTTGAATTTGCCTGAAGTGTTGGTTGGATGAAGTAAAAACTGATTTTAGATAAATCAATACTGTCAAATATTTGAAACTTTCTTGAGATATATGGACTTCAGTAATGTTTTCTTTTTTCCATTAGGTGCCTGCATTATTGCATACTGGCGATATGGATCATGGCTTGGGGCAATCAGTTGTCCAATCTGTAGACAAACGGTAGTGTTTTATATCCAGAAAGCATTATTTCTGTTGCTTCATTTGGTACATTTTAATAGTTACTATACTTAAATTTTGAATTTTTATTTTTTAGAATTTTTTTAACCTAAAGCTCCTGTGATTTTACTCAACTAAAAAAATCACTAACACCACAAAAAAGGGAATTCTATTTGAAATCCTGTAGTTTGTAGTAAAAACCAACTGACAAATGAGTCCTGCCCAAATCATGTCTTTATTGGCATACCAGCAAAGGAATGAATGAACTAGCTAATTCATGCATATTTCATATATTTCCTTCATAGCTTCTTTTGGAGAAGAATTGTTTTTTTCTTTTTTGTTTATGTTTAACCTGCCCTCTTCTGTTTGAAACCATATAGTAATATTATTTTATGTGTACATAAAAACACATAAACACATGTACTCAAGCCTTTCAGCCTTTATTCTGGCTATCCATCCCCATCACTGCCCTCTTACTTTTTCTCATATGGTCAGGAGGAAAATTTATTTTTCATATTGTATCCCTGATTAATTTAATATGTGACACAATCAATTTGCTTGAAGCTAATTTGCCAGTACCACTTCTTATCTTGTTATTTGCCAGCAATGTGAAGACCAGGTGGTGTATCTTACATTAAAGAATTAGTTCCACTGCATGTCCCTTCTTCTTGACTCTGCCCATGACTTCTTATAGGCCAGTTAACAGGTGGTACCCTTTGTACTACCCATAAATTGACTAGAGGCTAGTAAGGTGGAGATGAAATTGTCTTAATATGATAGATGTTGGTTCCCAGATTGCAGAGTCATTCATCCTGGAAGCAAGACAGATGGCAGGTACTGCTCCACCTCATATTTCACTGGTCTCCTTTAGTAAATAGTCATGGAAATAATAATACACAGACTGCTGTCTCTAACTAGAACACACTCATCATTTCTCTCTGAACAATGATGTACAGACAGCACATTGCAAGACTTAGCTTTGCATTTAAAGCTTTCTGGACATCCAAAGCAAAAGCAGTCCTTACTCTCATAGCATCATTTGTAACACCACCCACAGTCCCATCCTAGTAGGCTATAGAACAGGTCTGCTTCCCCTTCTATATTGAGGTCATCCAGGAGCAGGACCATATGTTTTGTTTTGTCTTGTTTTTTGTATACATAGCACTTATACAGTGCCTGCCCCCTCTCCCAAGTAAAGTGCTCAGTTAATACTTACTGAAAAATGCATTTTTACTAGCAAATCTGTGAAGAAAGAGGCGGCTGTGTCTGAAAGAGGCGGCGGTTGGTCATTCCTCTGTTTAATTGTTTGGAGAGCATCTGAGTAGTAGGAAGCCCTGGAAAGACAACAGCTAGATGATTTAACACTAAACCTGTCCCTACTCCTTTGTATTTTTATTCCATCACGTAATTCAGTAGTGACCATTTTCTCTAGGTTACATTTCTAAATGTATTTATTTTTCAAAATCCTATTACCTCAGATCACCCCATATGGTCATGAGACAGTTTGCACACACTCCTTTTAATAGTTGTGGAGGAAGTAAGAGTAAACTTAGTATATTCTTTAACAATACCAGGAATTATATCTGTTTATCACAGTGTTTGAGAGTTGGTCCTTACAACAACAATCTCTACATTATGGTAATGTTCAAAGGTATGCCAAATGCCAATGAGAATTGGAATAATTATTTAAATACCAAAGCAGAAATGCCTCAGTTTTCTCTCTGAAAGTGATAGGTACATATTTTTATTGTCCATTTGCTCCAAAATGTTTTCTCATCATCCTTATCTATTCAAATATGTTTGCCTAAACAGAGAACTACTGAGTTTATCCCTGGTGTGGACAGTGTTTGGATTTTGCATTGAATTTTATTATAAGGCAGTAATAGCTACTTGCCTCCCACATTGCCTTTGTTAAAAGAAATGAGTGAAGTATGCACTCAGAATCTTTTCTCATTCTATTGACTAATAACACAAAGTTAAGAACATTAGTGACATGGAAGGTGTAACAGCTTTTTTCTGTAATACACAGGTAACTCTACTCCTAACAGTATTTGGTGAAGATGATCAGTCTCAAGATGTTCTGAGATTGCATCAAGATATTAATGATTATAACCGGAGATTCTCAGGGCAGCCCAGATCTGTAAGTAATGTTACAGCAGGTGCAAAGTCAGAGGGAGCCATTATACTTCCTTTTTGTGAAGTGAGATTTTCCAACCTGTATTCTTTGTGACAAATCTCATCATGTGTGTTGGGTCAAGTTTTTCCCTTCATCATTGCCACTTACTGACTTTTAGCTGTTCCAGGGTCAACAATTTTCTTTCTTGAAAAACAAAGAAACAATACCAGGCATGAGTCACCAGCTATGAGGGAATCATAGGCAGGAGGATCATGATCAGAGGCCTGCTCTGGGCAATAACTTGAGACTCTATCCAAAATAATAACTAAAGCCAAAAAGACTGGAGGTAAGGCTCAGGTGGTAGAGTGCCTGCCTACCAAGTATGAGGACCTGACTTCAAAATCCAGTAGTCTAAAAAAGCAACAACGGTAACATTATAAATGTCTTTATGAACATGAAAATAGCAAAAAACTGGAAAAAAATGGAAGGAAATAGCAATTTCTTGACTCAAATGTAATTCTAAGTCACAGTTTGTCTTGAGAGAACTTTCAATTGAAAACTTCTAGAGAGGATTTTACAATTGTGGACTTTCTATACTCTTTTATACTCTAGTTTCTCTTCAGAATGTATAAATATTTCACCTGTTACAATTGTGGTTTTTTGGTTTTTTTAATTTACCCTAGTCCCCTGTTCCCCTGTTTGAAATGTTCCCTTGAATTCTACAGTTAACCTCTCTCACCTTCAATAATTTTTTTTTTTTTTTTTTTTTTTTTTGTGAAACTGCAAAGCTCTACTGCTTGAGCCACACCTTCTCCACTCCACTTTCGTGGTTATTTTGGAGATGGGGTCTTGCAAACCAACCCAACGGACTTCAAACCAAGATCCTCCTGATCTCAGCTTCCCAAGTAGCTCATATTACAGACATAAACCACCAACGTCTGGCTTCAAAAAGCAGTTGATAAATTAGAAATTGTCATATTTTACTGATTCATTCTGGTTTCTCAAAAATTTCACAAACCATTTAGAAGCATGTGTATTGCAGAGTATGTACCTCAAAAACTAAAATACACCAAGTGCAGACTTAAATGGGAAGTGTGGACCTTCTGAGCTCCTATCTACCTGGATATTCTACAGGCACCTCAACTTTAACATAAGCAATATTGAACTCATTCCCTCCTTGACTTGTTCTTTTCTCAGTTTTGTTTTTCTCCTCTCATTCTCCCCTTGTCTGATCTATAAATAAAGAACCCTCTCCCCTTTCTTTTTGGCAGTACTGAGGTTTAAACTCAGAGCCTTATGCTTGCTGGATGGGTACTCTACTTGAGCCACAACACCAGTCCTTTTTGATTTAGTTATTTTTCAAATTGGTAGGGTCATGTTCTATACCCGGGCTGGCCTGAACTGAAATCCTGCCATTTATGCTTCCTGCATAGATCTGATGACAGGTTTGCACCACCACACTCAGATTTTTATTGGTTGAGATGGATCTTGATAACTTTTTGCCTGAGCTAGCTTCAAACTGCAGTCCTCCCAATTGTCACTTCCCAAGTAACTTGGATTACAGGGATGAGCCACTGCACCCAGCTCCATCATTTCTTTCTCTTTTTTGGATGTCCTGTTGTTTTTGCTTCATAAAAATTCCTACTACTCACAGTCACCATAGCCCTCAGACTAGCCCAAGCCACTGTCATCTCCTCCAGATAACTGCAGGGGTCTCCTCAGTGCTACCCTTTTTCTCTGCTTAGCAGCCTGAATAGTAATTTCAGACTCTGATGCTCTTATGTTTTAAAACTTTGAATGTTTTGGATTAGTGTTCCCACTTGTTGCTGTGATTTACAAAGGCCTCCTTGATCTGGTCCTCTCTTTCTCTCAAGCCCCTTGTGCCCCTCCTCCTTGCTACCAAGCTTCAGCTACACAGACCTTCCTCAGCACATTCCATCTTATGGCCTTCTTCAAACATTAGATTTCCTTCCCATGGAATGCTGGTCCCTCTGCCCATGGCCAACTTCTCATCTTGTAGATGAGAACTGTCTTCAGTAGACCTTCCTCAGAGGCTTTCACTGACCAACTGCCACACACTGTACTGTCATGCACTGTGCATTGCCTTCATGTCATTTATCATCAGCAGTGCTCAAATCTTGTTTCATTATTCTTCCTGATAGACTGAGAGCTTCATGAGGGTAAGGAGTGTATTTATTCACTACTGTATTCCCAGTGCAATATTCAATGCCTGTGATATGGACCCTTAATGTTTGTCAAATAAATTAGTGGTTTAGCATTCAGAACTGAAGCTCAGCGTGTGGGGGCGTGGTGTATTCCCAGCACTCAGGCAATAGAGGCAGGAGGATTTCAAATTGGAGGTCAGTCTGGGTGACACAATAAGACCCTGTCTCCAAAAAAAAAAACAAAAACAAAAAATTACACTGGTGCTTCCAGCCAAAAATGTTCAGCTATTAAAATATGATTCAGCATTAAACAAATGTGTGCTCCCTTGTTCTTTATTCTGTGATGTCACAAACAATTTTTAAATAATAAGGGAAACTTAATTCAATGATTATTGTCATCCATAATTGTTTAGAAGCCTCTTCTGTTTTGATCCAGCAGAATTTTTTTTTTTTTATATATCCTCCAGGGACAGGATGATTCTTTGAAAATGCATCCTGTTTCAAATTCAGGAACTACCACTTAACTTAAAATTATTTTGAGAGTTTTATATTTTTAAATGTGAATTGTTGTATTGCTTGTTATTTTTTGTAGGTGTCAAATACTTAATGGCTGAGAAGGCATCATATATGCTGAAATTATAATAAAGACATTTAACTCTGATATTCTACATCCTTCAAAGTTGGAATAAGATTGTTTGATACATAGTGTTTCTTAGTAAACCATTTCATATTTCTTGCCTAATAATTACAGGGTTTTTTTTTTTTTTTTTTTTTTTTTAGTACTGGGTCTTGAACTCAAGGCCTACACCTTGAGCCACTCCACCAGCCCTTTTTTGTGATGGATTTTTTTGAGATAGGGTCTTGTGGAACTATTTGCCTGGGCTGGCTTCAAACTGCAACCCTCCTAACCTCCGCCTCCTGAGTAGCTAGGATTACAAGTGTGAGCCACCAGTGCCTGGCAAAAACTTTTGAGTAATACTCAAAGTTTTCAATTTTTAGAACATTTCATATTTTGGAGCATTTTGGATTTCAGTTTATAGACAAGGGATGATTGGTCCATATATGTTGTATTTTAAGCTTGCTGACACTTTAATTTCAGTTATCTGCACTAAGACCTATTTTAGAAGAACACAGTAATTAAATAACTATTTTTAAATAAAACGTAATTAGAAAATATGGTGCTCAATCAATATAGGAAACTTCTTAACTCATCCTAAGTTTGACATTGTCAGAAAATTATTTTTATTCTGACATATTGAATGCTAAATTATAATATTTGTTTTTCTTCCAACCAGATTATGGAAAGAATCATGGATCTCCCCACTTTACTGAGACATGCATTCAGGGAAATGTTTTCAGTCGGAGGTCTTTTCTGGATGTTCCGCATTAGGATAATACTTTGTTTAATGGGAGCTTTTTTCTATCTTATATCACCTCTAGATTTTGTACCTGAAGCTTTGTTTGGAATTCTGGGCTTTCTAGATGATTTCTTTGTCATCTTTTTGTTGCTTATCTACATTTCTATTATGTATCGAGAAGTGATAACCCAAAGGCTAACAAGATGAAAAAAAAGTTTTACTAGAATATCCAGAGCTAATGTATAAAATCAAACTAAAGGACCCGTGGCAGTATAAATAATCTAAATATTACCTTACAGGCTTAAACCATTGTACAATAAACATCTGGTTATCATTTGACACATGCTTAGCAATATATAACTGGAATTTTTACATGTTGCAGGTTCTAGTGTTAAGATCAGAATTATACTAATATACAGTTATCTTGACTCCATGTTGTCTGTAAAGTCTCTGGAAAAAATATGGAATTATGTAGGAAGAGATACTTGTTTTTCTACAAATTACTGAGATTAATTGATAATGCTAAATGTTAAATGTACAATTCATCCTCCTCAGTGGGTACCTGTATGATAATATATAGCTTTGAAATTCATCTAAATATTTTTGTTACTATAAAATATTGTACAATTTTAGGGAAAAGTCAGTGTCTCTTTTAGCAGCAAGTTTTGTGCATTTGGAGCAGTTCTGTGTTTCTATTCTGGTATAATTCTTTGTTATCAACTGAAACCGAAAGAAGAAACCTGAACTCAATAATTTGATTTCATAGCTTGGTACAGGACACTTTGACTGATAGAAGAATTAACAAGATGAAAACAACTTACCTCCAGACAGCACCCTTGATACTCAATTAGGAGCTTTAACCAAGAATTTGGCCTTCTCATAAGGTCAAGTATAAAAGTAACTTGTAAAGGGGAATTATGTTAGGAACCTGGTAACACATACTGGGTATAGTAGTTTGATGCTTTTTTGAGGAAACTGGATCATTATATCCACCATCATCAAGGCCCTTAGGAAGGTGCTAGGAATGCTGTTTAGATTTGACAAAAGAAATTGCTAGTTAGCTCTGCAACAGAATGGAAAAATTTGGTTATCTATTGTCGGAAAATTTTATAATACTGTCCCAAGGTGGCAGTATGTAACTCGGATTCATCATGTCATGGGCAGAATGAGCAAATGTGTCTGAGGTGGCTAGATAGGAAAATTGCCTTTTTAAAAATTTCCCCCTGGTGGCCACGGCATGAGTTATCTAATGCCCTTCTCTTCAGTTTTCTGTTTGCAGAGAGTGATCACAAGTATTGCAGCTGGCATTGCTTATAACTAGGGGCCCACGGCAGCAGGCTATGAGATGATGGCCTATAGTCAGTGTTACCTTGTCTTCTGCAGTCACTGGTATTAAAATTGCCCATTAATTTCTTAATGAACCTCATTACACGTAGATAGGCAAAAAAGATATGTCGCATTCTCAATTTAATCAGATTAGCCATCAACTGATGAGATTGTAAATGCAGTATCAATTTGTTTTCTAAGTTGGACCTATGATGAGGCTGTTGCTTGTCATAGAAACAATAATGCTTAGACATAAAACATTACAAATAATGCAGTTTCTCACATATTTTCCTTTTATAATCTCCTCAAGAAATTTTTATGAGGAAGGCAAGACATCACTTTCCTTTTCATAGAGGCTGTTGATGAAAGTTTTGTCTTGTGTGTTTTGTTTTGTTTTGTTTTGAAGTCACACAATGAATAATTCAACTGGTGGACGTTTAGGCATACATGAAGGCTATTATAGGAGAAGCAGGAGAGAAACTGGGATCCTTTGGAGTTTTTCATAGTACTTTATTCCTCATCAGAGTAAGACAGTTTGGATGCTTCTAAGAGGAAAGGTATAGGAAAATAACTCATCAAGGATTCATGAATCTTAATTCTACCCTTCCAGATCAACTAAGAGTGGCCTATACCATAGAAACACATTTCAGCTCAGTCATCAACTTGAAAAGCTAATAAGTAAGAGCTTGTTATATCAGACTGGAAATGAATTGCCTACTTACTGTTAATTTGATGTAGGCTATAGCAATACTGTTTTCAGAAAGGATTTCATTTTCTGTGAATGTGTTCTGTTCCAAGTGTCACATTTCTGGTTGCTGTAATTTTATTATATATTTGGAATTGCTACTAATACTTTCTTGGTAGAGGTATATTGTACCAAATTTTGTAACATATGAAAATGCTGTATGATCTGGTCTTACTAAACTGAAAAGGAAACATGCTGACCTGTCAGAATTGAATATCTTTGTTATGTCATCTTTACTGCTCACTGATGATAGAGTACAGTCAATCAGTGTTTTAAACACCATAGTAATACTTATGTTCAGAGTAATAGCATATAAATCAAAGCAACAATTTGGACTTTTTTTTTTTTTCATTTTTCTTTTATTATTCATATGTGCATACAAGGCTTGGTTCATTTCTCCCCCCTCAATTTGGACTTTTTTTAGACAAAAATATTCAACTGTCACAAAAACAGATGGTCCAACCCCAGGAGCAGATAACTAACTGTGTGGGGGAAAAGACAAGAGGAAATAACTGTTCTGAAACTCCACTCACTAGAACAGTGGTTTCAGCTCCTACAGTTCTCAGCTTTTGAAAGGAACAGGGACAGGAGGGCCTGTGCTGATCCTGTGTCTGTGCAGATACCTACCTCACAGAGTTGGTGTAGAGAATCAGTGGCTTAGTTCAAACTTTGTGATTTAAGGTTTTGTCAAGTATTTTATTTTTTGGAATAAAAGCAGCATGTCTAAAACTTTTTAAGAGATGTTATTTTTCTGTCTCTTTGATATTGTTTGCTTTAAAATTTAGAACTCTATTTGGGTGGGGGCAGTACTGGAGTTTGAACTTGGAGCCTTCCACTCTCTAGGCAGGTGATCCACCATGTGAGCCTTGCCCCAAGCCCAAAATTTAGAACTCTTGAAAGAGCTTTGATTATAATAGTTGCAATGACTTTCTTTTTTATATTTTACATATGTATTATAGCCCATACATCACTGTCCACATTTTATTTCTGTACATACACAATCCTGTTTGAGATTATGTCCAAAACTGTATGTCCTCTATTACGGCAATTTAAAGTATTTATTCAATGTTAATTTGGGTTGTACATGATTTTTCTTTTAAGTATTGACTTTGGAACTTCTGCCTTAAGCTGCAACTCAACTCTGCATTTATAATGAGATGCAGAAAGGAAATTTTCTCTTTCATAAAGTTAACTTTAATTGACAAATAATAATTGTGTATCTTTATGGGTCACAGAGTGGTGTTTCAGCACATTTATACGTGGTGTATTGATCAACTCAAGATGTTGAGTTACCCCTTATCTGAAAAGCAAGTTTGAACTCAGGACCTCATACTTGCCAGGCATGCATTTCTACCACTTCAGCCACTCTGCCAGCCCTTTTTGGGTATTTTCAACATAGGGTCTTGTGAACTGTTTGCCTGGGGTGGCTTTGAACCTTGATTCTTCTGATCTCTGCCTCCTGAATAGCTAGGATTATAGGTGTGAGTCACCAGGTACCCGGGGATCATTTCTTTGTGAAGAGAACATTCAAAATCCTCTCTTTTAGCTATTTTGAATTATATGATAAAATATTATCAATAATCACCCTTCTGTGTAAAAAACAATCTCTCCCCATCACTCTGGTCACCACTTTGTAATGGCTTTATCTCCAATGGACATGCAATATCTCATCACATAGGGAATTTTATTTTTAAATTCAAAAAGTAAAAACATGTTTTTAAGGAAAATTATTTAATCTGGGCACCTATTAATTCTGGAAACAAAAGGTGGAATTTAAACAAGTCTATATGCTGACACATTTTTGGCCAGTCCTGTTTCTTTTGATTTTATTTCATTTGATGAAATTTAAATTTTTTGAGTCTATGCCCTTGTACATCCCAATCCTACACCAGCTGTAAACACTGATTTTACTCTAGGCTCTTCTGTTTTGCTAAGCCACAAACCCATAAACCTAGGACTGAACTGGAAAAGCAAGAGACACTTAAGACTTCCTGAGCCACGTACCAGTGGCTCACACCTATAATCCTAGCTACTCAGGAGGCACAGTTCAGGAGGATCACAGTTCAAAGCCAGGCCAGGCAAATAGTTCCCAAGACCCTATCTTAAAAAACCCTTCATAAAAAAGTTCTGGTTGAGCCATCAAGGTGTACGCCCTAAGTTCAAACCCTAGTACCAAAGAAAAACTTCCTGAAGAACCTCTAGGATCTGGCCAGTGGGATTTCTGGGCATCATACCATCACAGAGGTTCTCACTGGGATTTTTTCTGTCAGAACCAGACCATGTTCATGGCTTTACACATTCAGTTCCTGACTTAAAGCAAAAGTGGTGTCAGTCACTGTCATCCTCATCTACCTGCATCTTCTGACTTGTCCCCAGTTCCCAAATAAATGCCCATTAGAGAACATTGAGCATGTTTGGTCAAGCCCCTTCCTAGTGCTGTCTTTATTCTCCCTTTCAGATTGTAGCCTTGTAAGGGAATGTAGTACACAATGTAGGGAAGGATTAAGGATGTTTTAAAGTCACTGATGCCTAACAGTTTAAGTTTTCATTAGTTTAAGAAAAACTTTAAAAAAAAAAACCTGGAAGTGTCTAATATTCAGATAAAATATAACACTTTAATAGGTCTTAGGAAATTATATCTACCTGAATATTACCCTAATTTTTGTTTCACTAATCCCACAGTGTAAAAGCTGTGAGTTTCCTTAGAAGCTGGTTAGTTTTTATGGCTTCTTTGTGCAAGTCAGATGAAAGCTCACCAGAAAAATGCATATACAGGACTGGGTATGGTGGTACACACTTGTAATCCCGGCTATGTAGGAGGTAGACGTGGTAGGATTATGGTTTTAGGCCAGCCAGGCAAAAGCATGTGACCCTATCTGAAAAAAATGAACAAAAACAAAAAAGGGCCAAAGATGTGGCTCAATTGCACAAGGTCCTGAATTCAAGCCCCAGTACCACAAAAAAAAAGATGTATATATAAAATCTATGTTTTGAAAAATCCAGTGTTTGAGAACCAGCTGCCACATGTGCTGGAAGACAAAAGAAAGAGGCAAATTGATCTAGGATGGCACAAAGTGCAATTTGTCAGGGATCTAGGGACAGAGCTGTGTCTTATACAGTAGGAAGAGAGGATCCTCACACCCCAAAGCAGTAGGAAGGAGCTTATGCAAGTTATACAAAGGTGGCCTTTAGCAGAGGGAATGTATCTGGGCTTTCTCAAGAAACTATTAATGTATCAAACATCAGTTAAGAAACAATCTAGGCACCAGTGGCCAGTAAAAAAATGCTGTTGTTGTTTTCTTCTTTTTCTTTTAAGTGGTACTAGAGCTCAAATCCAGGGCTTTGCACATGCTAGGCAAGTGCTCTACCACTGAGATATCTTAACAACTTGTTTGTAGGGTTTGAAAGAAATGCCAAGGTCATTAGGCAAGAAACATGACAATTTATAATATAACCAAACTGCTTAAATCGTGTCAAGCTGGATCCTCACAACATACATGCCTAATCCATATTAATTTTCAGGGGATACAAAGTCCTATTTGTGGATGCCAAATTAAGAATTTCTCATTTAGTATCATAGCCTTATTCTACACCCAGCCGGGATACTCAGTCAAAAACCGACTGACGCAGTTTAGGCCAAGATCAGAGTGCCAGCGTGGTTGTGTTCTGTGAGGGCCTGCTTCTTATATATCCTTGCATGGCTGAGAGAGAAAGATCCTCTCTTCTGTCTCATTTTGTAAGGGCCCTAATCTCATTTATGAAGGCTCCATCCTCATGACTTAAGACCCCACTTATAACTACTACCACATTGGGTATTAGGCTTCGATACATGAATTTTGAGAAGAACGTTCAGTCCATGTAGCTAAGTAGTAAAGAGTGCCTGCTTAACATATGCAAATCCCTCATTAAATCCCTAGCATAGCCAAACTCAGGGCCTCATGAACTCAGGGCCTCATGCTTGCCAGGCAGGCACTCAACCACTTGAGCTACTCTGCCAACCCAAAGCATGATAAGACAGGTAAATTATATTATTTCAGTAAATATTTAGAGAGACAGACTCAGACATTGAAACAAGAAAGTAATAACTGAAAAGCCAGAACAGCTAGCTCCCTCCCATCTCCTTTTACAGAAAGACTCAAGGGGCTACCTGTATCTGCCTTCCTCTTTGAAATGTTAACAAGCTGTAAGGATCCCAGAATGAGTAGAGGTAAATGATTCTCTGGTAAAGGGAAGTCCTGAAACACCTATTGTCCCTGTGCTTTGGGTAAGACTAAGTAACATCACCGTATTTTTCACAGGAAAGTTTAAGATCACAGATACTGGACCACCATTTTTTGAGTCTTTGCTCCCATTTCCTGCATGTGGAACAGAAAATGTTTCTATTTATCTCCGTGCCCCTTCCCCCAACACATACACCTTGTCCATACTTTTATCCTGTTATACTAAAATTCTTACTAAATCTTCCACTTTGTGAGACTCCTTGTATATGACACACCTTGAAATTCTTTTCACATTTGTGGATCTCAAGGACCTGTGATTTTGCATGGAAACTGGAAAGCTGTGGGAGCCCCCTCATCTGTTCTCTAGTAACACCTGTACCAGCCTACAAGTCCCTACATGCTGGTCTCCTTGCTTCAGCTCTCTTCATCTCATTTTGTCCCCCAGTTCACTCCACTCCAATCACACTAATCTATGCTGTTTGTTGAAAAGGCCAAGAACACCGAGGCTCAGGAGCTCTGCCTTAGCCATTCCCTCTGAACTGCAAAGTTCTTCCCCCAGGGTATCTTCAACACTAACTCTCTTGCCAACTACAAATCTGTGTTTATCACAGGACTGTTCTGTCCTTTGCTATTTAAAATTGTAACTTCACACACACACACACACACACACACACACACACACACACACACACACAAAACACCTTTCACCTTGTCCTCACATTTCTGTGTGCTTCCCCTTGCCTCCACTGAAATATAGCTTCATAAGGGTAGAGTATCCCAAGTCCCTAGACCTATGCATAAAACACAGATGTTCAATAAGTATTTGTTAAATCTGTTGATGAGTAAAGAATTTCAGTGAACTCTACAGGTATTTTTTAGCTCAATCATATTCTGCTATTTATTGCACAGGGGACAACAGAGATTATCACCTGCCTCAATAACCCTGGAAATGCTAATAATAAACTATTCTGGTTTTGTGGCATAAGCCTATGACTCTGAAACTATTTTATTTATTTGTGCAGTACTGGGGCTTGAACTTAGGGCCTCATGCTTGCTAGGCAGGCTCTCTACCCCTTAAGCCACTCCACCAGACCTTTTTTTGTATTGGGTATTTTTGAGATAGGGGCCCATGAACTATTTGCTGGGTTGGCTTCAAACTCCAGTCCTCCTGATCTCTGCCTCCTGAGCAACTAGGATTACAGGTGCCCTGCTTATCTTTTTATTGGTGCTGGGGCTCAGACTCCAGGGCACTCTACCGTGGGAGCTACATCCCAACCCTCTGAAACTATTTTAGATACAAGGTTTCTCAAGCCATTTGATTCAACCAACACTTTCTCAATACTTAAATTATTGCAGACACTGTAAGCTGCTGGGGTTGCGGAGTTAAATAGGACACAATCCCTGTCCTCAGCATTTCAGTTCTGATGAGGACACAAACAACATAGACATTAGAATAGGGTTCATAATTGTTTACAGAGAAAAGTGCAAGATTTCGCAGGAATGGGGAGGGCAGGAAAAGAGGGTAAGAAAAAGAAAAGCTTGTTGGAGAAGATAACACTTAGGCTATATCTTAAGAGTGGACAGTCAAGGATGGGCATTTCAGGCCAAGGAAAACAGCCTATTTAAGGAATCCACAGAAGAACTGCCCTCTAAGACGTAAAGCAACAACTGAGTTTTTTTTTTTCTTTATTCATTTATTCATATGTGCATACACTGTTTGGGCCATTGTTTGAATTTCCACCAGGAAAATGGTGGGCTGGTCCTAAAGAGCTATATGTCTCACCATAAGAAGTTTGGATTCAATACAGGATATAAGCAAGAGAATGACAATAAATTTCCCTGAAGGACAGATTGAAGAGAGACTGGAGACTAGGACAATGCGGGCACTGGTGTGTGGGTAAGAGACCATGGGGCCTGATCAAAAACAGTGATGACTAAGGTAGAAGGGAGACAAATGGAAGGGGAAGAACCAATTTGGCATATAATACATATATATATGGAAATGTCATAACAAAACTCACTGCATAGGTATCTTAAACAAAGATGTCATTTTTCACTGGTGGAGTGGCCAAAGTGGCAGAAAGCCTGCTTAGCAAGCGTAAGACCCTGAGTTCAAACTCCAGTACTGCCACCCCCAAAAAAAAGTTCCTTGAAAAATGGCTTTTTTCAAACACAAAGGACAAGGAAGGTAAAACAGGTCCAGTCTGAGGGTTAGTACCAGAGGGAGGGAGGACATAAGGAAAGGGTGTAGAGGGTGAATATGGTGGAAATACTATGTACTCATGTATAAAAATGGAAAAATGAGAGGGGGGGATAAAGAATGATGAAGGGGATGAATTTAACTAAGATACACATAAGCATTTCGTAAATGTCACCATGTACCCCCAGGACAATTAAATTAATTTTAATTCAATTAAATTTAATTAAAATTAAAAAAACAAGATATTCAATTAGGCAAAATGAAGGGCATGTGCATGGCTTAAGCAGTAGAGCGCCTTCTTAAAAATCTCTAAGGCCTTGAGTTCAAACCCCAGTACTGCCAAAATAATGATGATGATACCACCCCAGTATGACCAAATAAGAATGAAAATGAGTCTGATGATAAGACATCGAAAGGGATGGCCTTAAGAGTTGTTCATTTTATTCTATAAAATTAACCTGGTGGGGCTTTAGAGGTGAGTAAAATTCTAGATACCAAGGTTTCTGGTTTCGGCAGCTATAGAACAGATAATTCACATAATTCAGAAGGCAGGTCAGATTTACATAGAAGTAAAAGATTTAGGGAATTATGACATTTGATAGAATTCAAGCAGCAAGGTGTTTACAGAGTTAGTAGGCAGAACATGGAACCCTGGGAGGAACACCAATATTTAAAAGGACAGAAAATGATAAGGGCCGTGTTATTAGTCAACAGACTCTTCTCCTGGTCCAGATCTACAGAGAAGAGACGGGAAACCAGGAGGTAAAACGCTCCAGTCTGAAAATCGCTGCAGCAGCTCGCAATTCCCAGCAATCACAGCCTTCTGCCTCGGTAGCTGAGAAAATACAGCAATAGTGTCTTCTTTAACTGCTAAAAATCTGTCACCTGGGCTCTCAAGGCTTTGGGATTCCTGAAGAGGTAACGGGGCAAAGATGAGCAGGATGGGAACGCAATCGACTGCTCTTTTAAAAAAAACAAGTGCAATCAGACAACGACCTCAGCTTCACAGCTATTTCCTTTAGGCCACGAACCCAACAGGCCATATTTCTTTCCCACTTTAAACCGCTTTAAGAAATCTTCTGGAGAAATTAATCCACCGGAACTTCACAGCCCGCGGTGGTGTGCGCCAGCAGCAGTTCAATCCCGGAATCACGCCCCTTACCTCACCCTCCAGCCCCCCACCCCAAAAGGCCCTATCTTCCTGCAGATTGCACGGAGGCCCCGCCCACTTCCGCATCGCTAACCACGCGGTAGGACATGCGAGGCCTCAGCCAATTGTCCGTTTCCCGGGAAACGTTACCTCTGACCTCTGAGCTAATCAAAGACAAGCTCGCGAGAGGTGAAGTTGAAGCTGCCTCCGCCATCTTGGAGATGGGAGACGGGCGATAGCTGTGGTCCTTCTGTTAATGCAAACAACAAATCGGGCACAGTAGTCACCCCCCCACCCCCTGAGTGAGGCTGTCATCCTTGTAACCGTTCACCAAAAACTACAGAAGAAGTGAGAGTGTCAAGGCCGGGTGCAGCGACATTGAGGGCCCCTTCACCTGCCTTCTGGGCGGCAGAAGTGAAGTGGCTGAGGACCGGAGGGATGGTGCAGTCCTGTTCCGCCTACGGCTGCAAGAACCGATATGATAAGGATAAGCCTGTTTCTTTCCACAAGTGGGTAACTTAAAGGCCTCGCGGGCCGATGCCAGCTGAGGCGGGGGCGCGCGGCCGGGCGGGGGCGGAGCCGGGCGCGTGTCCGCTCGAGACCTGACGGGCGGGGCGGGGAAGGGGCGTGGTCTCCCCGGCCGGAGCGGTGGGCGTGGCCGTCCGGGGAGCACTGGAAATCGCGAGGTCTCCCTTGACCTGGTGTTGGGGACTGCCCTGCCGCTGGCTATGCCTAGTGGCGGCGATTTCTCCATCATTTCGGTAGTGAAGGAGCCAGGTGATGGTAATTCCTTAGGGCTACATTTGAAATAGAAACAAAGACCTTTGAAAGGACGAAGTCACTATTTCTTGTCCTTGCTCTGAATGGGAAGTGTATATCATGGCAGGATCCCAGGGAGAATTCCTGGGCCCAGTGTCTAGGAACCACGCCACCCAGAGTCGTGCACACCTGTAACCCTAGCACTGGGGTGGAGAGCGGAGGCCAGCCTGGAATACATAGTGAAATCCTGCCTCAAAAAAAAAAAAAAAAAGCTAATTTTTAGGAAACAACCTTTTAAGGGTCTCCAAGTTCTAGAGGAAGCATCTGGTATTGCAAAGATGAGTCGTTAACTTTCAGCACACAGTAATGTGTCATAATAAAGGTCAATGCGAGCGATTATCAACTTACCCTCCCCCCTCACTGCCCCCCCCCCAGCTTTCAGGGCTATTTTATGCAGTAGGTCTTGCAGCTAGAATTCCAAGGCGAAAAATATTCTCTTGAAAATTGGAGTAGAAGGGCTCAGGTGCTAAAGTGCCTGCCTAGTAAGCGTGAGGTCTTGAGTTCAAACCTCAGTACCACAACAACAACAAAAAAAAATTGGAGAAGAAAACTGCAGAATTGAAGTTAATTAAAATCAAATGGTTGGTAAAATGTGGTATCATATTTTCATGCAGCCAAATTCAGTGTTTCCAAATTAGATTCACATGAGGTTTTCTTTACAAGAATTTCTATCAGTAGTAAGTTATGAAAATTATTGTTTTTTGTTAGTTTGTTTTGGTTGGGAATGTGAGGGCTGGAGGTGTGGCTCAGGTGGTAAAGCACTAGTGCTAGGCCCTGGGTTCAGTCTGCAGTACTGTAAAAGAAAATAATAATAATAATAATAGGGAATGTAGGTACATTTTTGTATGTTTGATAGAAAGTGAAAAGGACTTTTCATAAGTAGAGTGAATAGGGAGCACTCCAGAGCATTGATGTTTTCCCTCAGAAGGGGCTAGAACACCTGTGGGATTCAGTTCAGTGTATCCTAATACTAATTCTTGATTTATTGGAATTGCTGAAATTTCATGTACTCTCAAAGTGTAGGAGCAAGCCAGGAGATGGTGACAGAAACAGACACTCAGCTCCCACCCCCATCTCTAATGGCATGACTAAGGGATCCAAAAATGCAGGAACTCTTAAGGATGACAGACATACTGTGTTTCTGCCTAATGTTAAGAAGTTGATTAAATCAAAGGCAGGCTAACCTGAATCTTAAAACCTTTATCTTAAAGAACAATTTGGGGGCAAGTATACGGAAGTGATGTTTTTCTTTCTTCTTATAGAAATTTATCTGTTAATATTAGTTTTTGATTTTTTGTTTGTTTGTTTGTTTTGTTTTTGTATTGAGCCCAGGGCCTCAGGCATGCTAGGCAGGCACTTGAGTCATGCCCCCAACCCCTAAAGAGAAAAATCTAGACAGAACCTCACAGACAACAGATTTGTCCTCCTTGGTCCCTGAGTTTTACAAGCGATTGCTACCATAGTTTGTGCTTCTGGAGGGCCATTTCCAGTGGGGATTTCCTAGGCATACCTCTTCTCCCAACTTCTAAATAGTGGCAATGGGGAGAGCTTCCTGTGCAAAGAAATAAAGACTGTCATAAAGATTGGTTGGCTCTTCGTAATAATGGTGGAGTCAGGCTTCTAGCATACCTTACCTACATGGAGGAGAAATTTTGGAGCATAGATTTTAAACATCATTCTTTGGCTTTTTTTCTAATCTCTCCAGTTAACCACCAAGTTCTTGACCTAGAAAAGTAGAGTGACAGTAAATTTAAATTTTGCCTCCCTTTACCTGGGCCTGGTTGATTAAGAGATAATATAATTTCCTTTATTTTTCTATCATTTGCCTATAATTTGATTAGTTTAAATTTAGTCTATATCTGTCAGACTGATTCTAAAAGACTAGAAGTTTCTTTCCCCTAAGATATAGACATATGTGCCATTTTTGTTTTTCTATGTAATGCAGAAAATTACTGGTAAAAATACTAATATGGTTTCATTATATAGTATATATTTTACTTGATCTTTCAGTATCCTAAATAGAAAAAGTTAATCAATGAGACAAGTAGATAACTGAGCTAGTCTTTAATCAAATACTCCCTAGTATGTTAACATCAATATAAAATAACTCTTCACTAAGCAGGAATGTTTGAGTGCTTTTTTTTTTTTAAGGAAGGTCAGAGAACTGAATTATGTTTTCTTCTTAGGTTTCCTCTTACTCGACCCAGTCTTTGTAAAAAATGGGAGGAAGCTGTCAAAAGAAAAAACTTTAAGCCCACCAAGTACAGCAGTATCTGTTCAGAACACTTTACTCCAGACTGCTTTAAGAGAGAGTGCAATAATAAGTTACTGAAAGAGAATGCTGTACCCACCATATTTCTTTGTACTGAGCCACATGACAAGGTAATATTTGTTTTTAAATGTTGGGTTGTTTACTAATTTATAAAGTTAGTGTGTTTATTGTGGAAAATTGGAAAACTCAGGGAACAGTTAAGAAAACAAGTGTGCCTGGAACCCATCACTTGTAAATAACCACTGTTAAGAATAATACACTTTGAAAAACACAAAATGTCATTTATTAAATATCCTCACACTCTAGCCCAGCACCCATTACTAAAGTAGCTGTAATCCTAGCTACTTGGGAGACTGAGATTGGGAGGGTCACAGTTCAAGGCTAGCCTGTGCAAATAGTTCACAAGAGCCACCTCCAAAATTACCAGAGCAAAATGGACTAGGGGTGTGGTTCAAGCAGTGCAGCACCTGGTTTGCAATTGCAAACTCCAGTCCCACCCCCAAAAAAAGGAAAAAGAAACCCAATGTATCTTTGAAATTTATTTGAAGATAACTGTGTACCCCTACTTAGGTTTCTCGTTCTCAGTGACAAATTATTTTTTACTCCTGCAGTTTAAGTGCTTAGTATTTAATTAAATCTAATCGCTTTATCTCTCACTTGCATTCAACTTCAAGTAGGAAAATTAAATTAAGACTGAAATGGATGCTGGCATGGTGGTGTCTGATGTAATCCTAGCATTTGGAAGGCTGAGGCAGGAAGATGAAGAGTTCCAGGCTAGGTGGGCGACACATTGAGACTCTTGTCTCAATCCTCTTCTCTCCCCACACCCAAAATAATCTGTATTGAAACTGGGTGTGTGACTCAGTGGTAGAGTGCTTGCCTATCATGCATGCTACATGGAGTTCCATCCCTAGCACTACAAAATAAATGAATAAAGACTAAAGAAAGTTTCTACCATGGAGTCACAAAAAAAATTTTAATAGTTCTGAAATTCCACAGATTAATTCTTTGAAGCTTTATCTTTAGTTCCTAAATTGACACATGCTCTTGTATTACTGTTTTAGAAGGAAGATCTTCTGGAGCCACAAGAACAGCTTCCCCCTCCTCCCTTAACACCTCCCATTTCCCAGGTTGATGCTGCTATTGGCTTACTAATGCCTCCTCTTCAGACCCCTGACAATCTCTCAGTTTTCTGTGATCACAACTATACTGTGGAGGATACAATGCACCAGAGGAAAAGGATTCTTCAGCTAGAACAACAGGTCGAAAAGCTCAGGAAGAAGCTCAAGACTGCTCAGCAGCGATGCAGAAGGCAAGAAAGGCAGCTGGAGAAGCTAAAGGAAGTCGCACACTTCCAGAAAGAGAAAGACGACGTATCGGAAAGAGGTTATGTCATCCTACCAAATGACTTCTTTGAAATCGTTGAAGTACCAGCATAAAAAATGAAATGTCTATTGATTTTTAATGGGGCAACACCACACAGATCCTCTTTTAGCCTATACCAGAATTTCATTTGAAAAAAATAATACTTGATTACTTGTATAAAAACAATTCAGAATATTTTTTTAAAAAAATAAATTAGATATATACTGTAAAATTGTAAAGTTTTTGGTTGTAATTTCAGAGTTTTTACCTTTTAACAAAATATTTTAAAAGTTATTAAAGCCTCAGACTGCCAATGTAAGTTGGTTTCAAGATTGGAACTTTTTGTTTTGAGTATTTACAGAAATAATGTAAAGATGAAAATTGGAGAGAATGAGAACAGTACAGTAAAGATGATTTAAGTTTAAAATGTAAAATGAGTTCTTTTTATTGAGAGGACTTAGGTATATTTTAACTCAGAAGTGTGGGTCAGATCACAGGACATAACCTCTCAGAATATGTAGATGTATACACATTGTCATATTTGTAGTCAGAAGATTTTCTGAATCACTTGTCAAGGATAAACTGGCAAGTCAATATTTGAAAGAAAAGATTTGGCTGTTGTCAGAAAGTGAGTCATTCCATATCTAATCAATAAAGAACTTTGTGAAGAGTGGATTTTTAAAATACCCTGGTTTTTCTCCACAGCATTATAAAATCAGAAGTGTATCCTCAGTGAAAGAAACATGCTTTAATAAACAAAAGTATGGCATTGTTACTAATGAAGTGAAAACTGGAACTGACCCATGTTATGCTTTTTCCCCTCATTACCCACATTTAGCAAATGTGTTTTGTAGTAGAGTTCAGTTTATATCATTATATGGCAATCTTGAACTTAACTGATTTTGGTTAAGACTTCACATAAGCTCGGTGCCTGTGGCTTGCACCTGTGATCTTAGCTACTTGGGAGGCTGAGATTGGGAGGACCATGATTTGAGGCCAGCCTGGGCAAATTGTTCTCGAGACCCCACCCCCCCCCAATCTCCAAAATAACTAGAGCAAAATGGACTGGAGGTGTGGCTCAAGCAGTAGAGTGTTTGCTTTGCAAGCCTGAAGCCCTGAGTTCAAACCCAGAACAAAAAAGACTTTACATAAAAAAAATTATTTTTTAATTTTTAGCACAAGTTAAAAATTATATCCCATTTTATAAAGTGATTTAGATTCAAAAGAAACCTAATATATTGTGTTTATTTTACTGAATGTTGAGATGTAAACACTGCAATTTCTATTCACACTGTGAATTGTGTTCTGTGAGAAATTTTAGATACATTTGAAATGAAAATATGTTGTGAGTAAAAAAACATTGCTATAGGAATTACCTAAATAGATTTAGAATAATTATTCCAACTGTAATGATTACTTTATATTTCAAAGTACAGAGACAGTTGAAGAATGTCAGACCTTTTAAGACAATATTAAAGATGAAACAATGATGTTCAAAAGTGTCTCTTGTAGACCTGATGTTCATTGTAATTCAGCACCATGCTGCCAGTAAGTGTGCATTTTGGTTCATGGAAAATTGATACTTTATGAAACAGCATCTCAAAAATAGAAAATAATGATTAGATTACTTACACAGTCTAATAACTCTTAGAAAAAAAAACAATAAATGAAAGCACTTTAATGGTTACTTTTGGAACTCAACTATTTTTAGAAGCTTCAAAGTCTTCAACTAGTTTGTTTTTATGTTTCATTCCTTTTAGAGTGCCTGGAAAATATCTGAGTAAATACTTTGTAAGATGTATCTTCAACCTAAATTATCTTTTGCGTAAATATCAGTATGTGTTCCTGTGTGTAGAACCAGGAATCCAGATTGGATGATAAATGTCGTAGTCATAATTACTTAGCATCTTAGTATTATTACTTAACCTGAAGCTACTTCCTTTTTTTCATGACAGACATAAACCCCTCATTTGGAGAGTCCTGAGCAAGCAGGATGTATACTGACTGCTTGCATTTAAATAATTTATCATTAGTTTAGCATAGAGAATTTGATGTACAGATACGTATTCTGAATTTGAGATGTAACATTGTTGAATGTTTTTAAAATTCATTGTATCCATTGTTTATAACATTACCAAGAAAAGTAGAACACAGGCTAAAATAGGTACTATTCAAGCATGCTGAAACTCATTCTGCAACAAATAGGGACACAGTCTCATTGTCGAATAAATGGGGAGAAGAGCCATGTGAGTTGCAGCATATTCTGAAAGTAGAAGTTCATTTTAAGCACTTATTGTAAGATAGTAAAATTTCCTTTTTTTCCTTGTTGGGACTGGAGTTTGAACTCAGGACTTTGGGGTTGCAAAGTAGAGGTTCTAATTCTTAAGCCACACCTCCAGCCCATTTTACTTTGATTGTTTTGGAGATGGGGGTCTCATGAACTATCTGAGATAGGCTGGTCTTTTTTTTTTTTTTTTATTCATATGTGCATACAAGGCTTGGTTCATTTCTCCCCCTTGCCCCCACCCCCTCCCTTACCACCCACTCTGCCCCCTCCCTCTCCTCCCCACCCCCTCAATACCCCGCAGAAACTATTTTGCCCTTATTTCTAATTTTGTTGTAGAGAGAGTATAAGCAATAATAGGAAGGAACAAGGGTTTTTGCTGGTTGAGATAAGGATAGCTATATGGGGCATTGACTCACATTGATTTCCTGTGCGTGGGTGTTACCTTCTAGGTTAATTCTTTTTGATCTAACCTTTTCTCTAGTTCCTGTTCCCCTTTTCCTATTGGCCTCAGTTGCTTTTAAGGTATCTGCTTTAGTTTCTCTGCGTTAAGGGCAACAAATGCTAGCTAATTTTTTAGGTGTCTTACCTATTCTCACCCCTCCCTTGTGTGCTCTTGCTTTTATCATGTGCTCATAGTCTAATCCCATTGTTGTGTTTGCCCTTGATCTAATGTCCACATATGAGGAAGAACATACGATTTTTGGTCTTTTGGGCCAGGCTAATCTCACTCAGAATGATGTTCTCCAATTCCATCCATTTACCAGTGAATGATAACATTTCGTTCTTCTTCATGGCTACATAAAATTCCATTGTGTATAGATACCACATTTTCTTAATCCATTCGTCAGTGGTGGTGAATCTTGGCTGTTTCCATAACTTGGCTATTGTGAATAGTGCTGCAGTAAACATGGGTGTGCAGGTGGATAGGCTGGTCTTGAGCCATGATCCTCCCAAACTCAGCCTTCCAAATAGCTAAGATTACAGGTGTGAGCTACCCATGCCAGGCAGAATTTCCATTTATGTGTGACATTATCTTGCAGTAATGACAAGAAATGATTGTTCCTTATTATCAAAAGTACTGGGAGAACTGTAGTATCACAGGGCTTTGAGTTGGAAGGGATTTAGAAATTCTCAAACACTGCTCTAATCTGCAAACCCTGTGGAATTCCTTTTGGGTTTTTTCTTTGTTTTTTGGAATTCTGAGAATTGAACCCAGGGCCTATGCAACTAGGCAAGCATTCTACCACTTGAGCTATGCTCCCAGCCCTTTTGTTTTTATTTTGTTTCTTGTTTGTTGGGGCTTGAACTCAGGACCTTCACCTTGAGTCACTGCCAGCCCTATTTTTATGAAAGATTTTTTGAGGTAGGGTCTCATGGAACTATTTGCCAGGGGCAGCCTTGAACCGTGATCCTCCTGATCTCTATCTCCTGAGTAGCTAGGATTACAGGCGTGAGCCACCAGCCCCAGCTTTATTTTGTTTTTAAGACAGGGTCTCACCTGTACCTTTTTCCCAACTAGCCTCAAACTCGAACTGCCTGTGCCTCCCACATGGGCAGCCACATCAAGCTAGAAATCCTTTCTGTATCATCCTTGATAAGTGGTTGTCCATTCTCTGTTTACCATTTACATTTTTTTATTTGGTCCTTTTTGCTGGGGAGGGGAGTTAGGAGTCAGGGATGGAGTGTCTTTGTAGAAACACACCCTGTTGGGGAGGGGAGGTGCAGGAGTTAGGACTGGAGTGGTTTGTTAACATATCTCTGCAGGAACATATACACAGTTGTGCAAAAGCCTCCTGCTTATCAGACTTGTGGCATTTTGAGGCAGCCCCTAGGGGGCTGTGGCTTGTGAAACTGTCCATCCCTTTACTGGATGTGGGGCCCACAGTGCTCACACAGGGGTTGGAGGCAGTGGCTCACTTTGCCTTCTGATCCCCCAGACCCAGTAAGTTCCCCCTCTGAGACAAGCACCAACTGCTGTTGGGGGAAGGGATAAGGACTCATCTAGCTGATTCCTGCTGACAGTGGGGTGGAAGAGGGAGGGGAGGTGCAGGGGTTGACCCATGTGGCATCCAGGGGACTCCGATAGAACTGGAAGGAGGGTTCATGCGTTGGCAGAGGTAAGAGCTGGAATTTTATCTTTTGTACCTGTTGAGATAGAAACTTGGAAAGAGCATTTATTATACAAGGCCCAAAGAAGGAGCATAAAAAGCAGTCCAGCCAGAGGTAGTGCCCAAGGGGCCCAGCTCTATATGTTGTTCCAGAAGGACCACTAATTGGCTAATTTTTGTCTCCTTTTTGTAATGTGCTCTTGTAACTATCAGACCATGTCTATGACCACCCCAGATTTGTTAGTATAAAAGCGATGTTCCTTGCTTAGGAAAAGGCATGTTCCACCCTTTTCAGCAGTTAATAGGTCAACTGCATGTCTGTTTTGAAGCACTACTGACACTAGTGAATCTACCTCATCTTGTAAAGCCTTTATGGACTGTGAGGCCCTTTCTATGTCATCATTAAATTCTGTTGACAGCTTTCGGTAGGTATAGACAGAGGAGGAGGTGCCCCCAAGGCCAGTACCTATTCCAACCATGACCCCATAACTATCAGTAAGTTAATGATTTTGACAACCCTCTTTGGTTGAGTGTAGGCTGCTAGAGGAATAGGGAGACATTGGTTGTTAGGGATAATATTGATTTGTGGGGTTAGAAGGGCTAGAGTGCAGATTCCCTTCCAATCGGGAGGCAGGCAAACATAGGCTGTGGTTCCACAAACAAAATGAGTTCAAGGATGGGGTAAACACTGAGGACAAAATGTTAGATCAGTTGTTAGCGTTATTTTAACACAAAGCTCTTTAGGAATCTCTCCTAGTGGCCTTGACCCTTGTAGGCTTTGGAAGCATTGAGGGGCTGGATGGGTCAGTTTCACCCTGGCATGTCACTAGCTTTCTCAAGCTCTGTCCTCCTGACCTAACTGGGGGAAACTGGAGATGAAGAAAGGACAAACGATGGAAGACAAAGCTGGGACCAGATCTGCTGGGAGCTCAGATGGAGACGCACAACAGCCTTATTACTTCTTTTCTCTATTATCCTCTTCTTTTACTTTGCTTC